TAAATAGTCACACCTGAACGCTCACATCCTTTTTAATTATGTTTGAAATTATGAACATTGCTCAACATCATGAAAATTAAACCTTATTTTCAATAAGCAATCCTGAAAAACATTTGGGGGTGCTTAACTTTTTTCCAGGTGTATATATCAACTTACTCTGAACATTCGGTGAAGAATTTGAATTTTTGCTTTCTTTTCAAAATAGTTCTCCGTAATATTCAACATTCCTCGCTTCATTTATAAATGAACTTGAATAGACATAAAACGCGCAACAGAGGGCACTGATTGTAGTTGGGAAGGTTTTTTCATAAAAGTGATACGATTATTTAGATCTGTATCATATTCGAAAGTTTGTAGGTTGGATACACAAGCATTCAGATGTGTTACCTTTCTATAGTTATTTTCTGATGACCCTCGTTATTGTAACCAAAAAAGTGGACATATTAATTAATTGAAATCTTATAAGCTGGTCTTGAATTTAAGTTATAATATAAAACTTCACCTGTTGAATATTTTTAATAGACTGCTCCTGTATTCTGTCTGATTCGGACACAACGTCCCTAAGTCTGCCATACGTTCCCAGGATGAGGAATGTTGACTGGGAGAAAAATATCCCCGTAAGTGATCTCGATACTAAATGATCTCCCCGATATACCGTGAATTTCATTTTTATATTGATTATGGAATATGCAGTAGAAATACATTATAAAATAATACGATTATATTTTAGCCCTGTCTGTTTGTCAGCAAAGTTTTCTCGAAAACGGCTGACTGGATTTGGACGAAAGTTGGTATACATTTGGACTATGACCCATCTTAGAAGTGATTAGTTTTTGGAGGGTCAAGGTCACGAAAATCTAAAATATCCCTATAAATATATGGTAATAGATTTTTCACACTATTTTCGTTCTATAATTCAGCCTAAAATGATTGGATTTTGATGAAACTTAGTGGTTATATGTAGAATATTATTCTTCATTGTCCTGCCGAACATAGTTGATAACGATGGACATAAGGACACATTTTCGTATACTTTGAGAGCCAAATATGATCAACGCTGTATGGCTGAGGTATGCGCTCTACTGAGTGCCCTCTGGTTGTTAACTTTGGTATCGTCACGTGACGACACAGTTGCAGTGCTCATAGTTATGACCTTGAATATATCATAGAATATTTTACAGTTCTTTTTTTTTACAACAATAAAATCCTAAAACAGATGCAATCATCAGAGAAATAAAACTGTCACTAATACACCAAGCCTACTACAACTGTCGCTAATACAACAAACCTACTACAACTGTCGCTAATACACCAAACCTACTACAACTGTCGCTAATACACCAAACCTACTACAACTGTCGCTAATACACCAAGCCTACTACAACTGTCGCTAACACACCAACCTTCTAGAACTGTCGCTAATACAACAAACCTACTACAACTGTCGCTAATACACAAAACCTACTACAACTGTCGCTAATACACCAAACCTACTACAACTGTCGCTAATACACCAAGCCTACTACAACTGTCGCTAATACACCAAACCTACTACAACAGTCGCCAATACACCAAACCTACTATAACTGTCGCTAATACAGCAAACCTACTACAACTGTCGCTAATACACCAAACCTACTATAACTGTCGCTAATACAGCAAACCTCTCCAATACTGTCCACTTACATCTGGAATTATGATGAATACAGGTCCATATTTTTATACAAGTGTTTCAGGTTTTGGTTTACCGAATATGGTCACCTTACCGAAACGTCATTTCTAAACCAGACAGAAGGCAGGAGTAACTTTCTTTAACAAACAAATTTACTGTTATAAAGCATAACATGTTAAAATAAAATATTGTATTATACGATAAGAACATTCCAACATTCATAAGCGTATTGTAGTGTAAACTCACACGTATAAGACACGTATTATAAAGCCACAACTGACAGACTTTGCCTTTGTACATGTACAAGACACGTCATACAAAGATGATTGACTCACCTTGATTCTGAGTACACGTGTAAAACACTTGATACAAAGTTATTTGACTCACCTTGATTCTGAGTGCACGTGTAAGACACTTAATGTAAAGGTAATTGACCCACATTGATTATTAGTACATGTGTAAGACACTTGATATAAAGATAAGTTACGTAACTGAAGCAAACTGACTCAACTTGATTCCGAGTACAAGTGTAAGACACTTGATGTAAAGCTAAGTCAGTTAGCTTTACATCAAGTGTCTTACACTTGTACTCGGAATCAAGTTGAGTCAGTTTGCTTCATTTACGTAACTTAGCTTTACATCAAGTGTCTTACACATGTAGTCGGAATCAAGTTGACTCAATTAGCTTTACATCAAGTGTCTTACACTTGTACTCGGAATCAAGTTGACTCAATTAGCTTTACATCAAGTGTCTTACACATGTACTCGGAATCAAGTTGAGTCAGTTTGCTTCAGTTACGTAACTTATCTTTATATCAAGTGTCTTACACATGTACTCGGAATCAAGTTGAGTCAGTCAACTTGATTCCGAGTACAAGTGTAAGACACTTGATGTAAAGCTAACTGACTCAACTTGATTCCGAGTACATGTGTAAGACACTTGATGTAAAGCTAACTGACTCAACTTGATTCCGAGTACATGTGTAAGACACTTGATATAAAGGTAATTTACGTAACTGAAGCACAAATCCGTTTATAAATGACTTATTACAAAAATAACTGACCAATCAATTTGTATTCGAGTAAATATGGACAACTGAAAGCTACTTGACTAACCATGAGTCCAAGTACATGTATAATGCACTGAATGTATGCCAAGAGCTCGAATATATGTAAACAATTTTTGATGTAAGCCAATTCCGGAGCTTAAGTACGTGAATACCACAATACATGTAAAGCTTTTGTACCGAACTGTTAAGTGCGAGTGCATGTATAAAGCACTTAATACTGAGTTATGTGACTCACCTAGAGTTCGACCACAAGATACTTTATGAAACCTAATTAACTCATAGTTAAAAAAGAATAGTAAATTATTCGAAAGCGTTCGAGTTTTGGGTCTTTTTTAAAAAAAAAATCATTGCACCTTTTGTGTCTGATCTTGTGTACTAACTCTGTTATCAGAATTAACAGATGGCGAACCGGCGTACATGTGAGACATTTGACGTAAAGCCAATTAATCTATGACAAACCGGCCTGGCATGGGCAGGTGGTTAGAGCGTTCGACTTGCAATCTGTGAGTTGCAGGTTCGAATCCCCATCCTGCTAAACATCCTCGCCCTTTCAGCAAGCCCTCCAGCAGCAGTATGCGAGACAACTTGACACGTTCTATTTGTAATTAACGCCACCGGTGAAGTAGTGTATATTCTTGGCTAAGGTTTCCTATTACACAATATCTTGGTGGACGTAATTAGCATATCTAACTGCAATACTGGCTTAAAACTATCTAGCTTACTGTAAGTGAGCCCAGTTCGTTAAATATATTTAGCCTTATCGTACCTAAAAGTATCTAGCTTGCTGTAAATGATTCCATTTTGTTATATATATTTGGCCCTGTCGTACCTAAAAGTATCTAGCTTGCTGTAAATGATTCCATTTTGTTATATATATTTGGCCTTGTCGTACCTAAAAGTATCTAGCTTGCTGTAAATGATTCCATTTTGTTATATATATTTGGCCTTGTCGTACCTAAAAGTATCTAGCTTGCTGTGAATGATTCCATTTTGTTATATACATTTGGCCTTGTATGTTCATGGTTATGTATGATAACAATCTAAACTTATTTAGCTTTACATTTTGTAACAACATGTTTTAACAAAGACGAGATACAAAATGTAAGCTATGTGACATACAGCCACGCGCAGTTTCTATGGTTACCCGTATAAGCGATTACAATTGGGTTACACGTGGAATAACGTTCATTTAAATAATTTCATTGGTTAACTTCAAGTGTGATGGGTCATTGAAGCATATTCGCCTTAGTACTAAAAAATACGTATTACTGAACTACATAGTTACCATCGTAATTCTTATAGAACTGTCGTCAGGTTTGTTTGCACATATTCAAAACGTTGGCCTTACACAATATATGTAATATGAAGCTTTGAGATAGTTCTGTGTTTTGCATGTATTAAAAAATACATTAGTAAGCTTACATGTTCGTACAATGTAAGTTTGAAACAATCCATAATAAAATATTTTAAAAACATACTATAGTAACACATTAAAATATATTTTAAATTTTTTCGACGATGTTAAAATTTCTACTTTTTAAAGTCATGCTTGTATGGAGTGTAAGTAATACTAATGGTTATCGTTGTGGTTCAGTGATGTTAGGAAGGCAGAATGCACGCATCACCAGACAAGGAGGTCAAAGTTTATACATGTTTACAATTTCAGATTTGTTTACACATACTTTAAAGTTTGAGGCTTATTTCAACTTTACCCTACATTGAGGTCACGATGGTCAGGCTATTCGAGTGACCTAAACATTTCGCTCTCGTGAAGTAGGTCAATTGAGCCGTTACAACAATTTGAAAAACGTTGTTTATATATATATATATAACATGTGTATCCTATTTTTTGCTATGTTCAACTCACCTTAACTTTTGTTATAACATGTGAAGCCAATTTTACAACAGCGAAATTTCCCTTGCCTATAGTCTTTTCAATTTCGTAAAATCCGACACGAACCAAACTGGTGTTTGAGTTTCCTTTCCCTAATTTCGTCTTGTCCGCTGCCATGTTTTGAGCATGCACATTCCAGTAACCTCGTTCTCAGGTCAATTCAGCTGCAATACATCATGGCTGGAAAAAGTTATAGTTACTTTACTATCTCGTAGTTAAATATAAAATATTTACATAGAAACTACAATTGAATTAAACTTTATATATATATATATATATATAAAAGAAGATACATGAATCTTTAGAGATTCAATGTATTCACTTTCTTAGGTTCAATAAACACATCCAAATTCCAAACAGAGCAGTACTAATCGAATATATTCAGTACAGCGAGGGTCATCTTGTTCTTTGAGTTTCTGAATTTTTATTATTGGTTTATAAACAAAAACACTATCCGTAGAGTGCGCTGCTTCTACAGCGGGCTACATAGTTTCAAGTGTTCTCTAAGGTCAGTAAAATAACGAATTAAAACCCCAAAAGCTACATTTCAAAAACTGTAAAATAGCTGTGGGTTTTCTTTTAAACGAATATGTTACAAACACCTTTGCAACATTTCTAGTGCTACATCAAAACAAGTCCCTCGAAGAAGAAATCTCGCGTTTACCTTCCTCATAGTTTAACGTAAAAATTTACTTTTTTGTATTTAAGTAAAATACTTTTAACAGAATAACCCTTGCATATACTACTTAGTCTTAGCTTTTATGGACACTCGCCAATGTGTGGACGAAACTTCACGAGAATTTATTGCGGAGAAAATTGTAAGTATAGTAAAACACTAGTTGTTTTCCAGCTCACGACGCAGTCTCATTGACGTCACTCTGACAACATAGCGCGACAATTTAAGTCCTGACTGGCACACAACATCATCATCGCCCTGACTTTCCCGTTGTCTTGACAATCGTGTAAGGTTTTCGTGTTTGTTACATATTAAACATCTAGCACGTACATCGTAACTATGTTTACATTCAGGTAAGGTCTGGAGGCCTATGTCGAAATGCAAAGATGAGGAGAGATCAAGGCACCGGTCCCGGCTATAAATTACACGTTTTTGTGAGCACTGCTTTAATTATTTTTTCTAATAGTAGAGGTCGCTACAAACGAATGTGTTATATTGGAAAAAATTACTGGTAGCAAGTATAAGTTACGTGATATCAGCTTTTAGAGTTACGCTAATTTGTTTACACTTATTTCTATATAGGACACTAAAAGCCAGAGGTTAATTTATTAAAAGCTAGACATAATTAACTGATCATTTAAACACAGAAAATTAAATCAACTCACATTCTCCTCTTTCAAATCCTAACTACTTCGCAGTTAAATAAAAACTGGATTGAGAGCAGTGAAGAAAACACCTCACGAGCTCTGCCAAGTGGATACCACTAGATCAGACCACTATATGATATCCCATTTGGCGTCCCACGAACAAGGGTGGGACCTTGAATGGACTGCGAGTCCCAAGCTAGACGCAAGTCTGACGTCACGTTGCTATAGCAACGCAGTCGCTGCTGTAATGTGTCTAGCAGACTAAAGAGAAACAGGCAAGCATTTTTATTGGAAGTGAAAAAGCGAAATATCGGCCAATATACTTACTTATCATCTGTAGAAATAATATATATATAAATGTATGTGTGTGTTTATTTTCAATAAAATATTACGATTAACCAAACCTCACAAATTGAAAAACTTATATATCTATATAATGCATGACATTTAGATTTGACTCTTACGCTTCAGTGACTGTAACATTCTTATACGAAAAAACGTCGATTTTTGTTAATATTTAGTAACTTTAAAATATTATCAAAACTAGAACACAGTGTTAAATGTTTCATCACAGCAGCATCAAGAACATCATATACTTTATCTAGGTAGAATGCAAAGTTAATTCACAATCTTGTAAATAGTTTAGATAATTTTTCCATTCGTTTCAAAATAAATTTTTGAAAGCAAATGATGGCATGGACGAAAAAATGAAATTATCTAATTAAACCGTGTAAACATCGTTGGCTACAAAGATGAAAACGAGCACTTTCTGACGTGTAGTTTTATCCAAGGATTCCTATTTAAAATCGCACACTTTTCGCTAAATCAATCCCAAAAAGTTGTCTTGAGAATAAGTAGGGGAAGGGGGGAATAAAAAAAAGTTTTAACTTAAATAACCAAAGCTTAGGTTGACGTTAGTCTCACTTTCTTCAGTTTTATTTATTACAATATACATTTATACTGTATAACATTCATAGCCCTGTGTTCCCTGTGATTCAACGAATAACTGCGAACTTTAGGTACTTTTAACACTGTTCTTCATCATATTGTTACGTCTTCG